GGCAATATTTCACAACATCGGATCTCAACCCAGGCCAAAAAAAAAGCCGTAAAATGTGATGGTATGTTTTTGTAATGCCCAAGTGATCCGAAAAACTGTGATCGTGAGCTAACATCAACACATGAGAATGAAATTGTATGGGCACGACTATCTGATAAACTGCATCAGCTTCACATTCAGAAACCGCTGGTGTTCTTTTCCGCATCAGCAACCCGTCGTCCCAAAAATAAAGCAATAGGTTGTTTAAACACGTCCTCCTTTTTCACAACGGTAGCTCTGCAGTGAGCCAGTGAATTATCATGTCTCTGCGCGTTCACTAAAGTGACCCTATCAATAGTTGAAGACAGATCAATTTCAGCACCAGGTACAATAGACAGCGACTCAGGGTGTTTAGGTTCTAGCTCCACAGAAAGCTCCTGGCAAACGTCAGCGCCGTCAGAGGAAGCCAGAAATCTGTCTGAAAGTTCAACCACGTCACTATATTTACGTGATTGCGCTCGCATAATCACGTATACAGGAAATACGGAAGTTAGGTTCGAAACCAGGTCTACAACATTTCGTGGTTCAGTAAGCGGATCCTCAACTACTTCAAGGAACGGCAATACCTTTCCACCGGCAAGGTCATTACCAAGAATCAAATCAACTCCTTTAATAGGCAGTTGTGAACGAACAGCGATCTTAACGAGACCGGAAACTAGGTCAGATTGAATGTTTATAAAATGTAAAGGAACTCTGACTATTCCTAATTCGATTCCTTGAACCAGCACATCGGAACCACAGTACGGATCCCTAGTAAACGGTAAAATACTGCCAAGCACAAAGGATTGGGCTGACCCAGTATCTCGGAGAATGCGCATGGGAACTTTGTCTCTCTCCTGTCCTGTAAGAAAACCCACCCCGTCAAAAACAAACGGATCATACCCGGAATCAATTCTTTGCTCATCAAAATCAACCGGATGACTCGTAACGCAAACAAATCCCACCCCCTTCGGCACCTGACGTTTCGGGGACTGACTTTTCTTTTTCAAAACTGGACAACCAGCAATGAGGTGGCCAGCCTCATGGCAATAAAAACATTCACGTGATTCGCCCTGATTCGGTATAGTAGTTTTTACAATTTTCCAATTCCTTTCAGCCCCAGATTGGGAAGATTCACGACGCACAGACGAAACGAAAGCATTTTTGTGAGTCAATACAAATTCATCAGCTGAAACAGCTGCTTGCGCAAGCGTATTTACTTTTTGCTCATTCAAATGTACGACAATCCGATCTGATAACGTGTCTTTAAAATCCTCCAATAACACAAGCTCGCGAAGTTGCTCAAAATCATTTACCTTGCTGGACTGACACCATTTATCAAAAAGAGTTCCCTTTTCACGGGCGAACCCAAGTCTGGCTGGCGGCTTTTAAAATGACCACGGAATTTTTGCCGATAAGCCTCGGGAACAAGCTCGTATGCCCTAAGAACCGAGGCTTTCAAAATATCATAATCTAAACTCTCCTCGATGGACAAAGCCGCACAAATTTCTTGAGCTTTACCAGTCAGTCTGCACTGCAACAAGAGTGACCAAATCTCTCGTGGCCAATGTAGAGCGACAGCTATACGCTCAAATGCACTGAAGTACGAATTAATCTCCACTTCCCTAAAAGGAGGGACTAAACGAATCTGCCTACTGATATCAACCTCACCCATACTTGGGGGATATGGAACAGGGGAAACAGCAGGAGGAACACTGGGAGAAACATGGGGTACAGACGCTATGGGGTTTGTGATCCACTCACCAGCCTAGCCGAAACACAGCGAGCCTCGAGTTCACACTGCCTGACACGCAGAAGTTGTGTATCATGTTCTTGCCGCTTAACTTGTAAATCAAGCTCTTTAAGTCTGATAGCCAATTTCAAATCTTCTGTGTTTAGACCCATCAATAGATTCGGATCTGCCATCGGAAGTTGACCCGAAGCCCCTGCTCCATCCATCAGAGAAACAGCATCGACATCCCGCAACTCCGGTTCTATTTTTAAAACCCCTGCCAACACCAAATTATCCTGCACCACATCTCTTATTTTAACAGCAACAGTGTGTAGTGCGAGAGTCAATGAAATGGAAAGTTCATGGACCGGATTCGTGACACTTATTGCCTGTTTGATCGCCACTTTAGGTACAGTCAGTCTGCGGTTCTGTTAGATTCTGAGAAGATGAGGATGTGAGCTAGAACGCTTCTGCAACTCTTAAGTCTGCACCAGGCCTCGGCCTTGACTTTCCATTCAGCAAAGATTCTAGGATCTCAGCTGATGTCTCTCTTAGCTCTTTTGAACTTTCCACTGGGAAGAAACTCCCAATCACCATCGAGTCAGAACATCTTTGGAGTTCATTGCTCTTCAAACCCAGAAGAAGGTGATCGCGACTCCTACACCACAGAACCTCCAAACCATCAAGACTTTCATCCGAGACTGCATGCGGACACTCATTCAACGACCAAGGGAATGCAAGTATCGTACATTTAATTAAATGGAACAGAGGTTTAGTATAAGCTGTAGACCCCGTTCTAAAACGGTGCTGATGGTTTCATACAGGTGGTTAACTGACTCTTTTCATAGCTTCCTTCTCTGTTTTTTCCTGATGGCTTCATCCATCAAGCCTAGTTTGCCCTTTCCCATGTATGAGTGATTGTTTGTATGTATGTTTGTTTGTTTGTTAGACTAGTTTGTGTTAGTGTTTATTTAATAAAACTCTTGTGCACAAATTACACGAGTTTCTGATTCTGCCTTGCAAATTAATGTGCCTTTTCGATTTTGATCCTTACTACGTGCTCTAATGCATTAATATTGTATGAAAGTATTTTCTGTGGCCAGGGAAATATCCTTTCCTAGAGTTGATATTAACTTACACTGAATGCTGGCTGGACGAACAGATTGGTTGATGGCAATTTAATTCTGCTACAGTAACTACTGGCAGCTGATATAAATAATTGTAATTAATCATAATTAACTGTAATTATTTATATACATTTCCCCTTTGAGCTAATTTGCTACAACAATATGATACTGCCATTGTGAAAAAAAAAAAGGCGGAACATCCATTGCTAAAGTCTTGGACATGGTGAATCATTACTATGACAACCAATGTGATAGCAAATGCTGATCTGTTTCTCCTTAGGCATGTATGTTGATATTTTGTAGCTCATGATAATTTCATATGATAATTGCTCAAACTTTTATCAAATTATAATATCAAAGTAATGTTTATTTATGATGAAGCTATAATTGTGAGTTTTCTGACATCGTGCTAGACTCTAGCTGCTAGAGTTTAGCTCCAACCATAATCAAGCACACCTGATCCAGCTAATCAAGGTCTTCAGGATTACTAGAAACCTCCAAGCAGGTGTGAGTTGGAGCTGGTTGGAGCTAAACTCTGCAGAGTTGCGGCCCTCCAGGAATGGAGTTTGACCACTGGACTGTAGTATTGCGGCTGATCTCTTATTTTTTTAGTCAGTGCAAAGAAATGCAAGTACTGGCAGTGCATCAGATGGAGAGATTGAAAAGTTCATCAAAAGATGGCTGCTGCTCACTTTGCACAGAGATGGGGGAAGAAAAGAGTGGGCCCAAATGCAAACACATTCTTCCAAAGGTATGTTCCAAATGTTAACATTTACCAGAGTTACCATTCATGTTATCAGTCTGAGATTGTCTGAATAACCATACGTGTCATTGTCTGTTCCACTTTTTGTCTCTCAATCTGTCCCTCTTTTAGGGTACGCTTATTGAGGAAGCTTTTTTTTTTTTCAAATAAATTCTAATATCACTCATATTTTCATTGTGTCTTTTTTATACTTGGGGAAAAGGAGCACATATGGATGTTATGGAGTAATTCATGGGGTAGTAGGTGGAGATGCAATGAAAAGAAATAATGTAAGGGCCAAACCCTTAATCTTTGTAAAGGTGACATATTTAGTTGACCTGCGTAAGTACATGCAGGCTTAACAAGGACAATGTAAAATATATATTTTATTTTAGTTGGAAGTAGATGCCATCTTAAGGATTTTAAGGTAACAATGTCATTTTGTGGAAAAACAAAAGCTCTGGTTTTACATAAAAACTGGAAGGAGTCTTTAATATACATATTTTAGAAATTCTGTACAAGTGTAAATATATATATATATACATATATAATTTGTTTTTAATTTAGCGAACAAGACTAGTACCGGCTAGTTGTCGGGATGATTGTGACCCAGTGTCGGCTCAGTTTCAGTGCCGTCTAAGTGTACCATTTTGATTGGTGTGATTGTGGCTCAATGCCGGTGATGTCGGCTCAGTTTCAGTACCCAGACTTGGGCCAGTACTGGCTAAGTGTTTCATTTCCCATTGGTGTGATTGTGGCCCAATGCCAGTGTTGTTGGCTTAGTTTCAGTACCCAGACTCGGGCCAGTACTGGCTAAGTGTTTCAATTCTTGTCGGCATGATTGTGGCCCAATGCCGGCAGTTATGGCAGCCGGACTCGAGCCAGTGTATTTGGGCCGATTCTGGGGCGTCATTCATCCCATGTCCATGCCGAGTCTGGCAACCACAGCCAGGCCGAGTTATTTATTCCGGCCTGCCGGATCTGGGCCATAATCGGGCCAAACCATTTTGGCTACCTTGGCCTTGCTTTGAATGACTTCTGCACATCTGCGGCCGCAGGCCATCACTAGTCTCTCACACTAATTTTGTCACCAAGGAGTTTTGGACCAGTTCTCCTCTGTCCACACAACATACTCCTCAGCAAAGGTTAGTTTAACCTTTTGATT